CAACTTGCCTTTCCATTAATTTGGCCTTCTTGCTCTTGTATTCTATACCTTGGGGCAATAAAGGCAATAATCCCATTTGCATTCTAAACCACCTTATTTATGTGCCCTACGACTGTCTGGATCTACAGGCATGCTTAAAGGTTCCTCTGATCTTCAGTGCTGAAATGTAAATAAAAATGTTTTTAACATTTGCGAATAATTTTCATTAACCAATTCAAAACATTTTTGAAACCAAGTTTAACAGAGGTGCAATGACGAGAAGCCAATCTATGCTGTTTTTAACATGCCAGGCACAGTTCTCATTTTGCCTGACTTTCTGAGGCTTACAGTCTTTTCCTGATAAATTATTGTTCAACCTCAGAGTCCATGGCACTGTTAACTGTGTTATTGAAAGGATACTTATTTGTAATCTGATAAGCATGCCGTGTCCAAATACTAACTGAGGAATAGCCACATGGGCCAATATCAGTGAGCTGTTAATGCCTCAGCATAAATCAGTGGCTCATGAAGAACAAAGGAAATAGAAATGTTTTTCAGAAAGAACTCGAGTTCCACTGCTCACTGGTGTCATGCTAAATGCATTATACTCAGTAAGGGCTGATAGATTTTAAAAAATCAGAATACACTGTTTTCAGTTCATCAAAATCTTCAAGTTGGCATGAGTGACAGCCTAATCACAATGTCTACTTAGATTGTGCAGGTTGGTACTCCATGATTTCAGCATACAGGGCCTTGACGTTGGAATGGCTAAAATTGAGAAGGAAGTGAGTAAGGATTGAGCCTTTGTGCACTCCTGTGTTTTGCTGCAATAACACTCAATGTTACTATTCTGCAGCTCTTTTGTCTGTTGTTTTCAGGTCTGAAATTGAATCCTGTTTACCATTAAAATACGCTCATTGATACAGTGATGTTGCCAGTCTGTGCATGACCCTGATTGTAAAGCTGTTTGAACTTATGGGTCTGGAGGTTTGTTGAAGACTGTTATTAGCATGATACATTTTTGATGGATGTGAACTAAATCAGAACACTGAAACCTGCTATTATCAGCATTTGGAGATATGTGTATGAAAATGGGAGGACAGTTTAATTGTTTTCAGAATCAGAGGCCCCATGATATGCAACATGGGAGGCTCCTGACAACAAAACTCTTGGGGAATCTTGGCTTGGTTGGTTGGTGTACCACCTGGAGTGGTACTTATTGCTAGAGAACAGAAAGATTATTTATTTCTGCCAGTGATATGCATGCTGTGTATCAGCAAGGAATAGCCACATGGGCCAGATATCAGTGAATTGCTACTGCCACAGTACAAATCAGTGCTGTCTAAAGAGGGGGGAAAATAGAAGTATTTTTCAGAAAGAACGAATCCCGTTGCTCATTGGTGCCATGGTAAGCTGACTTTGTGCAGTAGGAGCTGTAAGATTTAAAAAACAGTCAGTACTCAGAGGACTAATATGACTCTCATAACACCAAAGAAGTAAACAAAACAGTGAACAAACAGCAACGCAGCACAGGGCTAATTGGAGCAGTATGTGAAACTAATGACTCAAAGGCAATCAAGTTACATATTAGATATGTCCCACTAGAGCAGCATTGTGAATACATGAGTGTCACTCTCTTGAAATACTACCCACTAAGATTACATGCAGGCAGATGTTACTGTCTGTGGGGTCATCCTTCTGTTGATTCTGCCAGATGTTAGTATTCACTTTTAGTGACAAATGACCAGAATTAGCTGTAGTATTTGGACAGCTATTTCTTTTATAAATCTGTTAAAGGCATCGGCTTCGAGAATTCCAAAATAAAACCGGATATGTTAATTGCAACATCTCCAACTGTTGGCTCAGTGGAGATTAATTCATTCATTACAAATCAGGAACTAAATCAATGATCTTCTGGTTAAAGGCTCAGTGCCGTTTGCAGAGCAGCCAGGTTCTTCCCCCTTTCAGTGGTGAACTCATTACCTAATACAAAGTAAGTTTAAAGAAAAACAGCAGAAGGTTAAATTTTCAGTGTATTGTGGATTGTTGGATCTCAGCTGGGGCAGTGTGGGGTGTTGCAATTTATTTGAGAAAGCAGAGTCAGGCAGAAGGACATCTTGCCCCAGACTGCTATCAGCAACATCCCCAGCACCCACACACAACCCACTGGAAAGGGTGCACACGTGAATATTGGATGAATCGGACTCAGCTGCCTAAACTGACTGATAGTCTATTGACAAACGGCCATGGCTCGCATGCAAATAATAATTGGTGGGTCAAGCTACCCAAGGATGATGCCTGCAGAAGAGGTGTACAGCAAATTGACAAAAAAAAACTGTTCAAGGCTGAAGTCAACATCCAGTGCAACAACATTATTTCCTTTATAGTGTTATGGACCAGACCAGACCCCCTCAAAGTATCTTAAGATAGTCTAGACCCTAACCTTTTCTTATTTTAAAGGTAAGTATAAGATGTTGCATTCCAGATGCAATTCGGTTGGTCAAACTACCAGATTTGAAACAAAGCACAGTCTATTCATATACCCTAGTTAAAATAGAATAAAAGAAAAAAAATTGGTTTAGCTATAGCTCTATTAGAAAACTTAACAGAATAATAGATTAGTTAGTTACTAAACAGTAACTGTTCCAACATAGTAACATCCCATAAACACACCCTTGGCAAAAGGCAAATTCAGAAAACAAATTGTCTTACATGAAACTCTAGCAGTAGGAAGAGAACCTCAAGCTTTTAGCTGTAACCAAGAGAGGAGAGTGTAGCAGGGAGAGAGGTACTGCAGCTGCCAAACCTTGCTGTGACTCCAGCAACAACTGCGACTGAAAAACTAAGAAATTAAAAATCTTGGTTCTGACAGAGCTTGGCCACACCCACTCAGGCTGCTTCTATTGTTCCAACTTTTAAAAATCCCCAAGGCCTCACAAGCTGCTTACGAGTTTTCAATAGACATCTCAGCACCTCCAATTTAAAATTTTTCTTTTAAAGAAAAGGTCAACATCTGGATGGGTATATGAATAGGAAGTGTTTGAAGGGACATGGGACAAATACTGGCAAATCAGACTAGATTAATTCAGGATATCTGGTTGGTATGGATGAGTTGGACTGAAAGGTCTGTTTCTATGCTGTTCAGCTCTATGGCTGTATGAGTCTAAGATAACTTCTTAAAGCCATAGTATCATCACAATAGGGAAGAAGTTCTAGACAGTGAAGATTGACCTGCATTCTGGTTCAACTTGCGTGAATTTAAGGAATTTTAATTTCAGCTTCCTTTAAGAATTCTCTCTAAGAATGTGCCTTTGCACATTCCTAACAGACATCTGTGTCTGAACACCCAGTCAAGCTGAAAGCTTCACATTTTAAATTGGGACTAACATCTGGCAGTGCTAACATGAGAAACTTCCCTTAAACAGCAACACATACAAATGTAGGCTTTCTACATTACAAAACAGTGGCATTGACATTTGAACAATGCTGATTTGACTCTGGTGAGACATACCCAAAATGTAAATTGTTTTTTTGGATGGAACATGTAAATTGTTTTTTTGGATGGAACCTACACAAACTGCAGCTATGTACCTTTTAGTTTATTCATTCATAGAATGTGGACATCACTGGCTGGGCCAGTATGTCATGACCATTCTAACTGTCCCTTGAGAAGGTGGTGGTGCAGTCACATTCTTAGTGTAATTACAATCACAGTGATGAAGGGAGTCCTAGGATTTTGATCCAGTGATAGTGAAGAAATGGCAATATATTTCCATGTCAGGATGGTATGAGGTTTGGATGGGAACTTGCAAGTGCTTGTGTTCTCATGTACTTGCCACCCATGTCCTTCTAGTTGACGGCTTCCCAAAGTGGGGCTCAGGGCCTCAAGTGGGGTAGCAAGCTGGAATTTTGGAGTTATAAATTCTGAGGCAGTAATGATTGCTGTGGAACTCTGACAAGAGTCATAACAACTGCACTCCTTCTTTAACAAGTTCCCAGTCTCAGATTGGGGTTACCACAATAGGATCACAGTGAGAAGAAGTTTGGGAAATACTGCACTAAATTGTAGGGATTATGGGTTTAGAAGGTGCTCGCAAAGAAGCCTTGATCAATCTTTCAGCAAAAACACTCAGTTTGCACTTTTCTTTCAATATACTAGTTACTCAAATGTTTTTTTTGAAGTAGAATTCATCTGCTTTATCACTCCTTATGTCACGACGCATCATCCAATACCAATAGGGTGGTCAGATTATCTTTTCTATCAAGTTGACTGCCACATTTCCTACTGTGACTACACTTCAAAATTATTTCAATGGTTGTAAAGGGCTTTGGAATATCATGACGTTTGCAAAGTGATTTTTAAAAATGTCTTGCTAACCCACAGGGCTGATGCATTTGAGAGCAATCTTTGAAGAGCATTCTTATCTCCTTTACCGTTGGAAATTCAGCCTCCAGTTACAGAGCTGAAACAATGAACTCTGCTTGTTGTACAAGAAAAAGCATCAATTACCCCCATATCCCCACACCCCAGTTCAACTACATGATGTATCTTTTTACAATGTGGATTCTTCTCTAATCACCCACCCCTTCCAAAGCATTTTATTATGGTGGATACCATTTTGTAGCAAACACCCACTGTCGGAAAGGTAGAAACAAAATTAATCACGCAACCAAGTGACTATACTTTATGTGAGAGCACAGAATTTAGGTATCAATACGCTATTCAACTGAGAGAACGTCACAAATGAGCCCATATTCACAGATGTTTTCCAGCAACAGTATGGCCAGAAATCAGGAGGAAAGCTCTTGAGCTAATTTATCCTGTTCTTAGTCCAGATGTACTAATGGCAGCTGCAGGATGCTTGACTACCAATGTGCACATGTTTGATAATGTTGTATGACAAGGAGGAAGTGAAATCATGCACAGAAACCAAGTACCAAATTCAGTTAGAGATGAAGAACCACACTCGCTCCAATAACTTGACCACAGCAGCCTCAAAAATCCTGAAGCCATACCGTACCTCCACAAAGTTGGTGTGTTTGGCATCACGTACGGTCACCACTGCATGAACCTCCTCAATGAGCTTCTGTTTCTCATCATCATCAAACTGCATATACCACTTTGCCAAGCGGGTTTTCCCAGCACGGTTCTGAATAAGGATGAAACGGATCTAAAGAGAGAAAAGCAAACTGCTGAACTGAAGTGGTGATTTTTTTGATTGAATTAGTGTCAATGGGAAAATTTTGCAACAACCTTACACGAGAAATACCAACGAAACCTTTTCACCCCTTATTACTTTGCAAAGTATGCTCCCTTCCATTTCTTCTGTGCAACATGTCTGGGTGCAGTACCCAGTGAACAAACTCCTCCCCCCCCCCCCCCCCCCCCCCCCCCCCCCCCCCCCCCCC